AATTGGCACTGACATGAAACTGGACAACCACCTTTGGTAAAATTTACATTTAGAGGGTGTTTGGTTGAGATTAAAATTAGATTTTTAGTAGATTATGATAGAAGTTTTTGAAATGTGTGGTTGAAAAGTTGTGATACCTATAAAAGATGTGGTTAATATTGATTGTTTGACTTTGATCCAAACATGAGCTTAAAATTAACTTGTATAACCACCTGAAAACTGTCAGTGATATGAAATTGTACAATTACTTTTGGATAAAATCCACCTTTAAAATTGACTTGTAGCATGAGCTTCACAAGGTGGTTATAATCCTACAAATGCAAACCTTCCACAAGCAATATATATATACAATTAAATTATTACATGTCATCTCTTTGCAAGGTCGACTTCCAAGATGATCCAATTATTCATGTTGCGTAGCTCAATTAAACCATATTCTATACTTTTGGAGATTGAGATTTGATTTGTTTTTCATCGAAGAAGAAGAAGATCGAGGATGGCCGATGGTAAATCTTATCTAAAAGGAACACGCCTTTTTTACCATCAGTGATATAATTTGCTGGCCTCTCCTCGTTCCGTCAGCTTGACTAAATTATTTTATCCACAACAAGAGTTGCCTAAAAAAGGATGCTCTCTTTAAATTGACTAGTAAAACAGAAATATTATGATAAGGTCGTTTGATTGTAAGAATGAAATTTGGGTGGAAAAAAAATGAATTTTAGGGAATTGAATTGCCTAAAACCTGTTTTACTGAGAATTGTCAATTAATTGTATTTGATTGGTATAATTTTTCACCTGAAAAATACTGAAATTTTGAATCTTTTAGTGTTCGTTTGGGTTTGTTTTTCATTGAAATTATCTATCAAATGGATATAATTTGTTACAATTGTGGATAAAATTTGTTTTCATTATAAAAACAAAATAATGAATAAAAAAAATTGCATAGAAATGCTTTTCCCACCAAATTCATGGGAAAAACTTTTCCTCAAAAATCAAGAAAATGTGGAAAATCAATTCTATGGAAAATTTAGTCAATCAAACATGTAAAAATGTGGAAATGAATTTTAATTTTCATCTTCTATGGAAAAGAAAAAGCAATCAAACGGGGCTTAAGTGCACATTTCATGGTGTACATCTATTTTGATATTGTGTGGATAGAAGTGTCAGATGGACGGGCTGGTTAGACCAGTGAAAATCGACTCGGATCGACCCGAGACTGCGGGCCAACCTGTGACCCGAGCGGGCGGTTCACGGGTCAAGGAGGTGTGACCTGCGGGTTTCGCGGGTTGCACCTTCACGGGCCACGGTTAACCCGCTAGCCCGTGAAATTTTTTTTAAAAAAATTTAGATATTTAGATATCTTACGATAGTGGATAATTAGATATTTTACGAAGTGGATAATTTAGATGAGTGAACATATTCTGTATTATTTAAAATGACACGAGATATACTAACAGTTCCAATCTCAACAGTGTCATCCGAGTCCGCTTTTAGTGCATGTAATAGGGTATTGGACGAAAGAAGATCTAGACTTAAATAAGATATCTTGGAAGCTCTCATATGTGTGAAAGATTGGATATTTGCGGAT